AGACAGGGCAGTGTGGGGTAGTAGTCAGAGCAGGCCTGGGGTGAAAACTTTGGTCCCCCAGATGTTGCTGAACTACAACTCCCATCAGCCTTCGCTAGAATAGCCAATGGTCAGGGGAGATGGGAGTTGTGGTTCAGCAATGTCTGGAGGGGCAAAGGTTCCTCATACTTGGTTTAGAGCAGCCTTTCTCAACCTGTGGGTCCCCAGATGTTGTTGAACTACAACTCCCATCACCCCTAGCTAGCAAGGCCAGAGCTCAGAGATGATGGGAGTTGTAGTCCAACAACATCTGGGGACCCACAGGTTGAGATCCGCTGGTTTAGACTGTTGGACTAGGACCCAGGAGATCAGTCTCAGATCCCCAGTCCACTGTTAAGGCCAGCGGGGTGGTGTGGGGCCTGTCACTGACTCTGAGCCTAGTCAACCTCACAGGGTGTTGTGATAAGAGGGTAATTCTGAGTATAGGGCTGCCATATGCCTGGGATTTCCCAGACCTATCCAGGATTCGTCCATCAGAAATAGCGTCCGGGTGGAATTTCCAAAAATCAGAAAACCTGGGCACATGGCAGCCACCTATGTCGGAAGTGTTGATTTTTTTGGTGAATTTCCTTAAAACTTTGCCCCAAAAAAGCTCAACAACATTTCCATATTTTTTACTTCTTGAAATATGGCAACCCTATCTTGAGTAGGACTAGCATTAGCTACTATCCCTAGCAGTTGACAAAGCCCGGTGGGAATTGAGTCCAGCCCATTCTCTCTGCCTTGGATCTATCTATTACTGCCGTGATGGTGAATCCGTGGACTCATAGATGTTGCTAGACTTCATTTCCCATCAGCCTCAGCCAGCCTGGCCAGTATTCAGGGATGATGGAAGTTGTAGTCCAGAGGTCTGCAGGCAGAGAGGATGGGCTGTGTTTTATTTCTAATGGGTTTTGTAAATTTCCAAGTTATGCGTATTATTTAAGCCCCCTCCTGTTATTGTGTTTTCCGTTTGCCAGCTAATATACACATCACTTATATTAGGGGAAGAATACTTCCCAGCAGTCAAATCTTCATCCAGGGATTGGGGGACTTGTTTGGCCCAGAGGGTCAGATCTTTATCTCCCCATGCCATGGGCCAACTTTGGCAACTGGACTGGCCCCCACCTCTCAGCCATCATCTCATGTCATAATGATGCTGGCTGGCTGAGAGTTGGGCAGTCCCTGACCCCCTGTCAAAGTTGACCGGGGGGGGGGTTAGTGAAGCACCACATAGGAGGATTGAACTTTCCACTCACAAGCTGATGAGCAGAGGGTTCAATCCTTTTGGCTCAAGGGGTCTGCTTCATTGGCACATTCAGCAGTATTGAACATTATTATTATTATTATTATTATTATTATTATTATTATTATTACCCCACCCATCAGGCTGGGTTTCCCCAACCACTCTGGGCGGCTTCCAACAGAATAATAATAATAGTGGTAAAAGATCAAACATTAAAAACGTCCCTAAACAGGGCTGCCTTCAGATGTCTTCTAAAAGTCAGAGAGTTGTTTATTTCCTTGACATCTGATGGGAGAGTGTTCCACAGGGCTGGCATCACTACTGAGAAGGCCCTCTGCCTGGTTCCCTGTAATCTCACTTCTCGCAGGAAGGGAACCGCCAGAAGGCCCTCGGAGCTGGACCTCAGTGTCCAGGCAGAATGATAGGGGTGGTGACGCTCCTTCAGGTATACTGGGCCAAGGCTGTTTACTGCTTTAAAGGTCAGCACCAACACTTTGAATTGTGCTCGGAAACATACTGGGAGCCAATGTAGGTCTTTCAGGACCAGTGTTATATGGTCTCAGTGGCCATTTCATCACCAGTTTAGCTGCCGCATTCTGGATTAATTGTAGTTTCTGGGTCACCTTCAAAGGCAGCCCCATGTAGAGCGCATTGCAGTAGTCCAAGTGGGAAATAACCAGAGCATGTACCACTCTGGCAAGACAGTCCACGGGCAGGTAGGGTCTCAGCCGGTGTACCAGATGGAGCTGGTAGACAGCTGCCCTGGACACAGAATTGACCTGCGCCTCCATGGACAGCTGCAAGTCCAAGATGACTCCCAGGCTTCGCACCTGGTTCTTCAGGGGCACAGTTACCCCATTCAGGACCAGGGAGTCCTCCACACCTGTCCATCCCAGCAGTACTAAACTCCACCAAGGGGATGCACAGGCAGGTGTGGTTTGGGAAAACTGGTCTCCAGGCTGGAGGTTTCCCACCCGCTATCCTAGCCCAAAAAGCCACTGTCACCGAACTATTACCCTCCTCTTCTGCGTTGGATTAGGGTTCTGTTGCCGGAAAGATAATCTTGGATAAACTGACTAGCCAAACAGACAATGTTATCGCTGTGCCTTTTCCAGATCTAGCCTAGATCTGTTCCAGAACTTCTCAGCTTACACCCACCCCAGTTAAAAGCAAAAATATATTTTGGAGCGTCAGCCTTCCACGGAGAATATTTGGTAACAACAACCTCCTGCTGCATTTCACCACCTGCGGTTACAGTGGAAATTTCAGGTGTGGATCCTGCCCACTGTGTTTTAATCTAGTGGAAGGGAGCGATGGGCTCAGACCTTGGCTTCTCCTAGTCCAAGACCTAGGGCTTCCTTCAGTCCAAGAGTCTTAACTCTAAACTAACAAGAGTGTGTGTTGCATCAAATATTATAGAGGCCGAAATTTCTCACAAGAGTTAATTCCTCAGAATTTCCTCCCCCCCCCGACTTTTCAAAAATTAAACACCCTTTGCACATTTCACTGAGCCCCACCCAAATGTCTGTGGCTCTATTTATTTTTTAAAAGCTGTACATAGAAGAGAATACTCTGAGGGGAAACCCTGGGAGTGATTTCAGCTTAGCTTTAGAGTCTAACTATCTTTATATTAAAGGAGAGTTTGTGAGATCCAGAGAGGAGAGTGAAAGGCAGGCGGTTATATCATGCGGACGGTTCGTTGGGTGTAAGAAATCTTTAGTGTGAGCTGGGATAAATTCTCAGAGGGCTTGTTCATATCCTGTCACGTTGTGCCTGGCGAGACTCTGTGGTATGCGGCTCAAAATACATCCTTCCGTGCAAGGCAGGTCCGTTCTGAGGCACCTCTGAGGGGGCAGAAAAAAATATATACCTCTCTCCTATTTGGGGCGCAGATAGGTGGACAGACAGAAAAAGGACAGTGGTGATTCCCCACCCTCGAATCCTAGAGGGTGACATTACATAAAGTGCCCTAGGGCACACGTGAAATTGGTGGGATATGCATGTGTGGTGGAATGCAAAAAAGCCACAGAATTTGGCTGCGATAAAGGCAGCTTCCTGAGAATCTCAGCTTCTGCATTATAAACGGCGCAGGTTCCTAGTCCCTAGCGTGCTGCTGCTTCCGCTTTGTGCCTGCCCTTCGTACCTGTTCACTTCAATCACGTATATATGCCTTCCCTGGTCCAGTTTTGCAACCCAGAAGAAGCATCTTCCTCGTTCCTACTTTGAACTCCAGAATACGGGTGCAAGTGCAGGGTATAGCTGTCAGTTGGATCACCATAGAAATATGTCTGCCTCTCCCCCATGTAACTTAGTCCAAAACAGAGCTCTGTGTCTTATCGCCCAAATCCATTGAGGCTTCATCAGAGAACGAGATCCTTGGGCTTGGCATTCTCTCCCCCCCCCCACCAGAAAGCCCGCTGCTCGGTAGGGTTCCAAGTGCCTTTAAAAGTGCATTAAAAGCCATTGTTAAACATCCATGAAGGTTGAAAGGGATGCCTGAGGGTCCTTTTCACTCAGCAGCGAAAAATCTACTGGAGCCTTGTACTTGTTCTTTCTTGATCAAAGAAAGAAAGAATAAAGGAGAGGGAGAGAGAAGGAACTCATCTGTCACATCAAATGCAGATTTTAAAATATTTTTGTTCATATTTTGCCCCCCCCCTCTAGCAAGCTAGGTTGTTCTTGTAATTCCTGGGCCTCTGGCTGTGATTCTTGGGGGGGGTGTCAGGGGGCACATGGGGGGCATGGGTAGGGAGACACACAATGTCCTTGCCTTGAGACATTTATGACCTGAAAGAATGCCATTTTGGCTGGATGTGTCGTGAGCAATGCTTATTCCTCCCCATCCTCCCCTCTTTAAATGAATAAATAAAGTAGTATATTGTGTCGCTCTTTATTTGAATGGCAGGAAGATCAGGGCAGCCTTTGAATATGGGGACCCTCCAGAATGACCCCGTACCCCAGTGTATTGGCTGCAATGTGTCATAGCCACAACAATAGTGCATCAGCGGTTGATTTATACCAGGCCGTCCGCACGTCATTCTGCTCTGTTAGTTGTTCTGCTGTGCTTTCCCAGTGTTACCACCTGAGGGGCAACTTTAGAGCTATAATGCAACAAAATCGGGATGGAAAAATAAAACAAGGAACCTTTACAGTGTACAACGTTTACAGACTAGAAGCAAAGGGAAGGTTATCTACTATCTCAGGAGCTGCCACACAAAAATATGGTTACGATATCCCAGTGATTTGTCAAATGCCTAGTGAACAAACAACTACAGTGGTACCTCTGGTTACGTACTTAATTCATTCCGGAGGTCCGTTCTGAACCTGAAACTGTTCTTAACCTGAAGCACCACTTTAGCTAATGGGGCCTCCTGCTGCCTCAGTGCCGCCGCTGCACAATTTCTGTTCTCATCCTGAAGCAAAGTTCTTAACCCAAGGTACTATTTCTGGGTTAGGTGAGTCTGTAACCTAAAGCGTATGTAACCCGAGGTACCACTGTATTTAAAATATATAGTAGATAAAGTGGGAGAAATGGCAGGATAAATAACACAGAGACACCAAGCAGGCTTGTTCCATTTGCATCCTTTATGCTGACAACCTGAGCTTGGCACAGAACCCAGGTTTATTTATTTGTTTTTAAATCCTTGTCTGAAAATCACTTGGGTAGAGGGCGGGTGTTGCGAAGTTTTGCTGCTTCATATTTGCTTTGCTTTCCTTCTCCTTCTCTCCCCCTCAGTTGTTTACGAACACAGATCACGGCTAGAACGATCCTTGCAGAAAGAACGAGGGGAACACAAGAAAACAAAAGAAGGTAAGGTTGTGGGGCTTTTGCCTGAAGTAAATTTGAAGAGGCGTTTGCTCAAAACAGCAGAATACGCGGCTTTGGAAAGGGCCTTTTCGGTGGCTGCTCCCAAATGTTGGAACTCCTCCCTCAGAAAGCTAGATTGGCTCCCTCCTTCTTGTCTTTCCGCCAGCAGGTGAAGACTCTTCTTGTTCCAACAGGCTTTGGGGAACTGCCTGCTTTTAATGAAAGGCTTGGCACTGTTTTTATTGTAATGATCAGTATGGTTCTAATAGATTAGTGTGTGTGTATGTGTGTGTGTGTGTTTTAATTCAGTCAATGCTTAATTGTTTTTTAAGTGAAAATCCCCCCCAAAATGTTGAGGGTTTTTTTGGGGAACAAAATTACATTTCCCAGACGTATGGCAGCCCTAGCAAAATGGATGCTGTAGCACTAAGCTATGAGCCTTGTCAGGAACATGGAACATGGATGCTCCCCATGCTGAGTGTTAAGTTGTGGGTGAACATATCAGACGACACAGTGATTCTTCAAACAGCTCTTGTTTATTCACAGGCTAGAACAGAACTGAACTGAAGGGTTCAGCCAGCCTGCTTATATAGAGCTCCAGTACAACGTAACTGTAACAACTTTCTGTAACTATCCAATCACTGAACGTCACTTTTGATCCCTTATTTGCATAACTATCTACAGTATCCCCCTGCTGGCCCAGGGTGAGAACTTCAGTACATAACACTGAGTCTGACCATTGTCCCATGCTAAGGTTTCCTCCTGTCCTGTATAATACAGGATTGTCCCGTATTTCAATGTATAATGCTATGTCCTATGTTGATTCAGTACAGGAGGCAGTTTGTCCTGTATTTCTGTTTTGCTGATTCTCTCTCTCTGTCTCTCTCCCATACCCTCCAACACTTTGAAGTCAAACTCCAGGACGCCATCTTGCCGTTTTTTGCCGTGAGAGCAAGGTGGCCATTTTGTTTGCCATGAGCATCTTGCTTCCCCAGTCCAAAAAAGCACTTTTTCACACACAGCACCCACAAATGCATGTTTGGGGGCACTGCACAAAATTGCAGCCCTGAAAATTTTGGGGGAGGGGGAATTTCACCACGAAATCGTGTGAGATCGTGGCAACCAAAATGGCCACCATGCTCTCACAATAAAAAACGGGATGTCCTGGTTTGGAACACTTAACGGGGTATGCAATTCCCCCACCCTGTCCTGTATTTTGCCAGACCAAAGTTGGCAACCCATCTAGCTCAGTATTGTCCGCACAGACAGGCAGCAGGGTGTAGGGCAGTAGACATTCCTTACTTGGAGGTGGCGGGGATCGAACCTGGAACCTCCTGTGTGCAGTGCAAAGGCTGCATCACTGAGCTACCATCTTTTCTCCTGCTGCGGCCTTCGTTCCCAAATCTCTGGGGTTTTGTGCTGGTGCCCCAGCGCTCAGCCGCATTGCCCCGCTAGAAAAGAAATAAGCATTTATTAAAAGGCTGACTCGACTCTTGTGTCTCAGAGCTTTTGCAAAAGATCAATATAGCAGTTGTTCTTCTTGGGAGCGTTTCTGAGAGGGCTGCAAGTGATCTCTAATTATCTTGGATAAAGATGTGGCCTTCTGTGCCGTGTGTGCTGGGTGGCTAATCGCCACTTGACGATTGGAGAAGAAGTTGCAAAGGATTTTTGGTTGTAATTGAGGGGTTTTAGACAACAGGGATGGGGAATCTTGTACTAGAACTCCCAGCATCCCGTGCCATCAGTCATGCTGGATTATGCAACATTGTATAGTGTTATTCTTCTTCTCAGACATCCCTTACCATCGGTTAGGCTGCCTAATATATATGTGTGTTTGCTGTGTGTGAGAGTACAAACAATTGTTGTTATTGTCAGCAACACAGAGTGTTTCCACTGGTGCTCCTTTCAGACACGGGTTCCACTTTGAAGTCTGTTCTGAAATACGATGGAGAATAGGCTTCTGCATTTTTAAACTTTGGATTTCTAGTTAGTTTCTTTTCCAGGGATTTCTTTAAAAAAATTTTTAATAGTGGGCACATTCCTTCCTATTAGGTTCACAGGCTTTTAAACAGCTTCCTCCTTCAAATGTAAACCAGATTCTAGTAAATTCCGTCTCACTAATTTCCCTGATGGTTCTCCCTCTTAACCCCCTTTTAGATTTTTTAGTCTACAAGTTAGAAGCTCAAGAAGCCCTCAACAAAGAAAAGGTGGGTGAAATTAGAACCCTCTGTGGGTGTGAGAGGGAGGTGGGGTGGAGAGGGGTAGAAGGGAATGAGAGGGAGGGAAAGGGAGGGAGAGAGGGGTAAAAGGGGGGAAGGAGAGGGAAGGGAAGAAAGAGGGGGAGAGAGGGGAAGGGAGAGACAGGGTGGAGACACAAGGGATGAGAGAGGGTTGGGGGAATAAGAGAGGGAGGGGTGAAAGTGAGGGAGAAGGGGGCACACACATACAAAGGAATAATATCCTTTATCAATATGATTGATCCTTTGAAAATAATATTTACTATCCTTTATTACCGGTAATAATATTCACTGTACATGGTTTTTCATTGCACTGGATTAAACCCATATATGGATAGATAGATGATAGATAGATAGATAGATAGATAGATAGATAGATAGAGGGACCCCTGACCGTTAGGTCCAGTCGCAGATGACTCTGGGGTTGCAGCGCTCATCTCGCTTTACTGGTTGAGGGAGCTGGCATACAGCTTCTGGGTCATGTGGCCAGCATGACTATACCGCTTCTGGAAAACCAGAGCAGCGCACGGAAACACCGTTTACCTTCCCGCTGGAGCAGTACCTATTTACTTGCACTTCATGCTTTCGAACTGCTAGGTTGGCAGGAGCAGGGACCGAGCAAAGGAAGTTCACCCCGTCGTGGGGATTTGAACCAACTACCTTCTGATCGGCAAGCCCTAGGCTTTGTGGTTTAACCCACAGCGCCACTCGTGTCCCTTGCGCGCGCGCGCGCGCGCACACACACACACACACATATATAAATTTTCTGATTTACATTTCAAAATATTCATTTAAACAACCTTAAATCAATGACTTCCCTTCTTCTCTTTCTGTGGTTCATTTTGCATGCCACACATCCCTGCATATTTTACAAGTCATTCAGTAAACCATTGTTTACATCCATCAGAACTTATTTACACTGTTGAATTTATCTGAATGCTACCAGTGTTTAAATGAACACAATTTTCACCCATATATTCAGTAAACCCTCAAATCCAATAATGTAAGACAAAAATTAAATTCTCCACATCATAACCTCCACTCCCAATCGTTCCTTGCAACAGTATGCCCAAGTGTTATTTTTCCAGAAAAAAATTGTGCCGGAACTTGCCCTGAACACCTCCCTCGTTCTCTTAGAATGGCCATGGTTCCCACCTGAGAGGTGCTGGAACAAAGTTCCGGCAAGTTCCGGCTGGGGAAAAAAAAGCCCGGGGTATGCCACTGCAGCTGGCCTTGCTTCCTCACAGCTCCCTTGTCACCAAAGACCTAGATGAAGTGGTTTGTTTTTAATTGGCACCTCAGACTAGACAGAATAGGAGCCGGTTACTCTTTGAGGAGGGGAGAGAGAGTGTTCTGCAGCTGGTGTGCCACCACCAAGAAGACCGCCACCGCTGTGCTGGGTAATAAAATTGGTTGTTTTTCGATGCCGGTGGCGCTGTGGGTTAAACCACAGAGCCTAGGACTTGCCGATCAGAAGGTCGGCGGTTCGAATCCCTGCGACGGGGCGAGCTCCCGTTGCTCGGTCCCTGCTCCTGACAACCTAGCAGTCAAAGCGCAAGTAGATAAATAGGTACCGCTATGGCGGGAAGGTAAATGGCGTTTCCATGTGCTGCTCTGGTTCGCCAGAAGCGGCTTCGTCATGCTGGCCACATGACCCAGAAGCTGTACGCCGGCTCCCTCGGCCAATAAAGCGAGATGAGTGCTCAACCCCAGAGTCGGCCACGACTGGATCTAATGGTCAGGGGTCCCTTTACCTTTACCTTTATTATGTTTTTACTGTAATTTTTACTGTTGTTAGCTGCCCTGAGCCCAGCTCTGGCCGGGGAGGGCAGGGTATAAATAAAAATTATTATTATTATTATTATTATTATTATTATTATTATTATTATTAACCGCTTTCAGTCATTTTGGTTACTGACCAGTTTTGCTTGTCACTTTTTCCTTGCAGCAAGATTCCATGAACAGATATGGAGCCCTGAGCTCACAGCATAAGATCCTGAAGGTAAACAGACCCTGCTTCTTTTGGCACAGAAATCTCAGCCATTTCTAGGGGTGGGGAACCTGCCGCCCTCCAGAGGACAACTCCATCATCTCTAAGCATTGCATTCCCATGCTCCTCTCTAATACTACTACTAATAATAATGGAATATGGTGGAAGCATCACAGAACAATGTGGCATGTTGTCTGGATGGGCTGGTATTAATCCACCATTATTGTGTAAATGGCATGTGGCAGAATTTATCCACTCAAAAAGAACAACCCAATCTAGAGCGGTCCCTATGTACTCTGGGGAGGGTGTCCAGAATGACTGCTTGAGAAACTGGCCCTAACATTTGTACACAAAGGTCTCGCTATCCAAACACAACATGCTCTCAGGAAGTTGTTTGTTAGGCTCGCGTCTGCATAATGAGTCACCAATTTTCATTGATTCCTATGGGGAATTTTTTAATGCGTTTCCAGCCACAGAATTTTGACCCCAAAAGACCACACAAAAACCTTGAAACCTTGCAAAAGGCAAACAAGGAAGGGGGGAAAATACTCTTATTTGTCCAGTCTCTCCTGCTTCCTCCCTTCTAAGTGTACGATTATATAATTCAGTGTCTACTTATGTGTTTGTTTAGGCAAGGCTATCCAGGCCTGTAAAAGTTACTTATATGTATTTATTTTAGCTACTGTTGATTTTAATCATCGTTTGGATGTTTGAAAATGCCTTTATTATTTTACTTTTTAAATCAAACATTTTAATGTTTCATGTGATATTTTTTATAAACAGCTTAGAGCTTTTTTTACAATCGTGCGGCACACACACACAAAATATAGTATAAATAATCTTCAGTGGGTCTATTTTGAGTAGTACTGGATGCAAGCTTTAGATTCTGTGGGATAAACCAGGACCCCATTGTGGCTATTGGTACACATTTAGCAGGATTTATTATTGTTGTTAAATTTTGTTAATTTATGATTTTACTGTTTTATCTTTTTTGTAAACCACTTTTTTTTTTACAAAAGCACTGTATAAGTTTAAAGTAAATAAATAATAAAAACAAAAATCTATGAAATCCTCTAAGTGGTTTGCGCAAAAGCATATAAAAGACTCATTTAAAAATACCGATAAAATAAAAACTTTAAAAACAAACAAACATAAAAAAATTCTGTTTGAAAGGCCAAAAGCTCAGTGAAATTCAAATCATGAACATTTCCCAATGTGTTTTTTTATAAACTCACACACAAGGTTTAAAAAGCCCGAGAGAGGGGAAGGTGGGAAAAAGCCTGTCTTTGTTAGTTTCCTTCTGGGTCACTTAACCCAGATTTGTTATGCTTTCACTGTTAATCGATTCTGAGTACACACTCTTTAATTTGGACTTTTACAACGCATTAATTGGCTACAGGGATTCTAGTTTCTTTTTTTTAAAAAAGTAACCAATGTAAGACTGAAGATGGTGGTGGTGATTTTTTTACCTGCCCTTCATTGCAAAGCCCCAGGGAGGATTGCAACAATATAAAAATACAAAAGAGTATCATTATTATTATTATTATTATTGCCTTTGCTTTATTAGTTGCCTTCCAAACCACAGCCTCAAGGCGACTTACCTGTAACAAAACTAAAAACACTAAAACAGCAAATATGTTTAAAGCAAGACTGACAAGTGGAAAATCGTGGTGAAGACCCCATTATTCAGCTGGGGAATACTTCGATTGTTTCCGGAAAGCACACATAGCTCAGCCTTTCTTTCTCTGACTGAACTGAGAACCCCCATGTGAGTTTATAGCCCTGTCTTTCTCTGCCCTTTCCCAAGCTAGGGACCTCTAAAAAACACCGGGGGAAACCCTTTCGCACGGTGCAACTGACCCAGAATTCACCTCCTTCGGTGTTCCCATAGTAACTTGCAGCGATCGTGCTCTGCTTGGCTTGGCAGCACCAATTATATATGTAGATCGATGGGTGCTCAGGTGAACCCCTGGCCCCTTATAGACAATGGCTAATTCTTCACAGCCACCCCAGTTTTTGAGGCTAGCTGGGCAGGGTTGAGAGAGGGAATGCTTGGGAGAAGAGAAGGGAAGAAGTAGTGGCAGCGGGAACGAACCACTGTCTTCCAACGCAGCCATATCACTGAGTCTTGCCTAATGGTCCCAGTAGTTTGGATGACGGTACAGTATGTCTTGCTGACCTGGGAATAAGCCTTGTTAAACTCTGTGGTGTCTGGGGAGAAAACCAGCATAGGACCGTACTATAAAAGTTTACCCTCGTTGGTACAAATGAAGCTCCCACTGCAGTTAGTCAACTTGAATCTATCAATCAGTCAACTTGAATCTATCAATCTGTCATCTTAAAAGCTGCTGTTGCTGAGAAGGCTTATCAGCCAGTTAAAAATCAAACAACTGATAGGTGAAGTGATTGAATCTGAATAAATCACTTTGGCCAAATTTACGTACAAACTGCGTGATAAGGACAATTGTGACATCAAGCAAGAATGGGAACTTTTTGCAAATTACTTAAAAAGACGACAACAATGATCTGGACTCCTTGGCAGGTTTTGAATAAACACCCACAAATTTATTAGTTGAACACGTGATAGATAAGGCAAGGATATGTACAGTTTTATAAGATGCAGAGAACAATTTGTGCAAAGAAACCAGAGAGGGGAGCTGAGGGAAGTCCTTTGGGGGGGGATGGGGGGGAATAATGTAATAGACTGGTAATTTGTTATGCTGAAATTGAGAGCCAGTGTGGTGTAGTGGTTAAGAGCGGTAGTCTCGTAATCTGGGGAACCGGGTTCGCGTCTCCGCTCCTCCACATGCAGCTGCTGGGTGACCTTGGGCCAGTCACACTTCTCTGAAGTCTCTCAGCCCCACTCACCTCACAGAGTGTTTGTTGTGGGGGAGGAAGGGAAAGGAGACTGTTAGCCGCTTTGAGACTCCTGAAGGGGAGTGAAAGGCGGGATATCAAATCCAAACTCTTCTTCTTCTTCTTCTTTAATTTTTTTTTTAAAAAACTGAACACATCACGATACAGCTTTAAGCCCTAATGTGATTAGAGAGCCTTTGGAGGTAAAATTAGAAACATACAAGTGGGAGCTGCCACAAAATGTTGCAGCACGGAGTATTCCAGTTCAGGACACTCCATTCCATTCCGGCCTTTCCTGATTTCCTCTTTCTTTTCTTGCCACCTGCCTGTCAGCCTTCTGTGGCCACTGACCTTGCTCACTCCTTACCAGACACGAGTTCCCACAACCCTGAGGATCTTACTGTATTCCTACAAACCTTGGGGTTTCTTCCAAATCTAAGGATTCCTACACACACACACACACACGTATGGCATGGACGGTACCATTTTGACTGTATAAGTGCTTTGAGAGTTTTGTTTACAATCAAGTGGCATGTACATTTTAATGAAACAAACAAATCATTGGCACTCATTTCTGGACACTGTAGACAGAGGGACTGATTCCTTGTTAGTGATTGGGAAAGTTTCCGAATGGGGGAAGATGTGAGTGTGTCACACAGGCGTCTCTCGCCCCTCCGCTCCTGCTCTGTCTCAGTTCTAATTTTTATTTTTCCTTGGATTAGAATCAGCACGAAGATGTCAAGAAGCAGCTTCTCGACCTGCAGATGCAACACAATGGGCTGAAACTGGAACACCGCAAGATAACAGAGACCCACAACCAGAAGTACTCCCAGCTGCAGAGGGAGAAGGAAAGCGAGGTGGGAGGTTTGCAAGGTGAGTGCAGGATCCTGCATTCGCAGAGAGGATGGGAGAAGTCAGCAGCAGAGATTTGGGTCTCCTCCTCCAGCTCCAGAGATAGGGTCATCCACCCCACTCTCCCCATCACCCCTTTCCCATCATCAAGGGCCGTCTTCTGGTGCCACACAATAGCCCTTCTGTTAGTGTGGTAGCGTGCGGGGGGTGTTGTGAGTTAAACCACAGAGCCTAGGACTTGCTGATCAGAAGGTCAGCTGTTCGAATCCCCGTGACGGGGTGAGCTCCCGTTGCTCAGTCCCTGCTCCTGCCAACCTAGCAGTTCGAAAGCACGTCAAAGTGCAAGTAGATAAACAGGTACCGCTCCAGCGGGAAGGTAAACGGTGTTTCTGTGTGCTGCTCTGGTTCACCAGAAGCGGCTTAGTCATGCTGGCCACATGACCCGGAAACTCCACGCCGGCTCCCTCGGCCAGTAAAGCGAGATGAGCGCCGCAACCCCAGAGTCGGCCATGACTGGACCTAATGGTCAGGGGTCCCTTTACCTTTACTTACACTTTGGAACTCCCTGCCTATTGACACCTGGCAGGTTCCTTCATTGTATTCTGCATTGGGCAGGACTGGATGACCTCTTGCAACTTCAGTTTCTAAGGCAGCTACAGCCATTCTCGGATCAGGAAAGCTTGACCACGGTCGTCCATGCCTTGGTGATCTCACATGCCGGAGTACTGCAATGCACTCTGCGTAGGGCTGTCCCTGATCTGGTTACAGCTGGTGCAGAAGATGACGGCTATAGGCCGCTTGTGGGAATTGCATATAACGCCTTGCTTACAGGACTCGCACTGGCTGCCCATTTGCTGCTGGGCCAAATTCAAGGCGTTAGTACTAACATGTGAGTTCCTATGTAGCTCAGGACCACCTTGCTTGAGAGACCACCTTATCGTTCATACACACAGTAGCTGTGAGAGCTTCTCCAGCAAGGCCTCCAAAGCCCGCTCTGAAGTTACCTGGAGCAGGGCTTTTAGCTGACCTTGTTCTGCAGAATAGCATCCCTGTCAAAATACAACAGGTGTCCACTCTTCACTTTCACAGAACAGTTGAACTTGTTTTTGCTCCAGCAGGCTCTCCTGGCTGAATAAACGAGTCTTTGCCACGAGTGTCCATCTGTTAAGATTTTTCTTTTAAATGTACCTGTTGCTTTCGTGTTTTTAGCTATTTTATGCGTAAATTGCCTTGAGAAAGTGATTGATAAATCAACTGCCATAACTGCAACTCTGCAGTTAGCTTGGAAACCTAAATACAGTGGTACCTCAGGTTAAGAACTTAATTCGTTCTGGAGGTCCATTCTTAACCTGAAACTGTTCTTAACCTGAAGCACCACTTTAGCTAATGGGGCCTCCCACTGTCGTTGTGCCGCTGTGGCGCGATTTTCTGTTCTTATTCTG